AATGACGCTGCGGTAGGACGAAAGTTTGACCCACTTCTTATTTCAGTTCTATAATACTTGCAGACCCCTTCTCCCCCGTAAACTCTCCACTGCCACTGAGCAAAATACTACCCCGTTGCAACTTATTCTAGTTTCTACCTTGTAATCCTTATTGGGATTGAGCATGACGGCTACATTGGGCAATGACAGAACAGTGGCTGAGTTTCCTGGCCAAACGTTACGCATCTAATTACAGCATAGTATTCTATAAGCCGAAATCGTTTAAAGTTACCTACACAGCTCCTAAGCAACATCTCCTGTAGGTTTAAAACTAAAGCAAAGGGATTGTCTGGTCGAGCGAGTCTGCTGCAAACAGTAGGCTTCACGGCAACCAACTCTGGCTCGGCGAACAGAACGCAGGGATAATCCAGCGCCGCTACCCCCCCAAAAAACTAGAGAAGGTCGTCGCTTCCGAACATAGTTCTCAGGACGCTGCACTCGCCAGCGCCGCGACCAGCCGAAAACCACGAGAGGGTCGTCGACTGCGAAGATAATTCTGAAGACGCTCCACGCGCCAGCGCCGCCACCCCCCCAAAATCACGAGAGGGTTGTCCATTCCGAACAGAATTGACGAGGACACTCCACGCGCCAGCGCCGCCGTCCGCCGAAAACAGCGAGAGGGTCGCCAGTTCACGCACGCACCCAGGTGCACCTTCGACGCAAGTCCAAGGTGCACATTGGACGCAAACAGCGGGTGCACCTTCGACGTTGCGCCCGCGCTGGATGGGCGAGCCGGCACAGGACAGAAGACACGGGGAGGCTGCGCATCGACCTCCATGGCTTCAGGCCCCGGTTGCTGCCTCACCGATGCGGCGCCTCTCAGCGGCCATGGGCGCGAGCACTCAGGCCTGCCAAAGAGCTCCATTCATCCCTGGGGACCAATGGTGATTCAGGGCCCGGGTGCATAGGAGGCGCACAGCGGGACAAGCAGCATCTCAGCAAAGCTGGGGTGTGGGGGCTCCCACCTGCTTCCCCGATGGCCGGACTCTCCTGCCCCGCCTGCTTCCCAGCGTCGGGAACTCCACACTCGTTGACTTGTGGGGGTTCCAGCCTGCTTCCCCGAGCACCGGAACTCTCCCTTGAAAAGGGGCCGGCCCTGGGAACTCCACAACTTCCAAGCAATGCTCCCCCCAAAAAAACTACACAAGAGTGCCGGTAGCTAAGCTTGGCTGTCTAAGACAAGCGCCTTTGGTACTGGCAACCCCGAAGCCGCAAGGTTAGTGGAAATCATTTCACACGATCTTCCGGAGCCAGTCAGTGCTTCCTGGGAAACATTGAAAAGTGCATATGTTCCGCCACATTGCAGCGACCTGCCATTGTGCTGCTAAGGCTTGAACTGCACCCTCTTTACGGTCAAGTTCCAAGCTTGCACCACTTTTCCTGCGCGCAGTGCACTCTCTGTCCGCGTCTTCAGAAAGAGAACGGCGTGAAACCAGCTCACCTGCACAGGTCACTTGGGGCCCCTTACAAGCAGTTGGAACTCAAGCTCAGCTCCCTAAGGTCGGACCAAGCTCAGCTCGCACTCGCAAGCCTCAAAAAGCGGGGAGAAAAGCCAGGAAACGCAAGAAGAGGAGTCTCGACGGAAGGGAAAGCTCTTCAACAGCCGACCGACCAGCCTCCGCTTTGAGACCGAGGCTTTCAAAGGACCCTTTCTACGAAGCACACACGTACACATCGGTTCTCATCGCTTAGGCACTCCCCAAAGAAGCATTCCTTTGAGGTGAATGGTAAAGGTCGTTTTTGAGAACTGCCAATTTTTAATGGAACGATTGAACGTGAAGCTTTCAGTGGCCTCCCAAGCGGTACCATGTGCTTGAAAATGAGGCTAGCGGCTAGGTTTACCCACTTGAGAGGGGAGGAGATCTCTTCGGGACATTTTCCTCTTACTTCAGTGTCCTTTCAATTGCAAGGCGAAGGGGGTGCTTGGTGGCTTCAGCACACGTCTCTGAAGTTTCAATTGCGTGGATCTCTTCTTCAACTTCCTACCACATCAGCTTACAAGTTTGAAGTTCTCAGGCGGAGCCGGTGTTGGTTTCTGATGCGAGAGGAAATTTGACCCTCAAATGCAAAGTGAAATGGATGGAAAAGAGAGACTAGAGAACTGGGAGGAGGGGAACGGTCAGCGACACGTGTTACACGTTGCGATCACAAGTTGCGATCGACAAGAAAGTGGGTTCACAAGGTGCCACTTGTGAAGCTGAGACGGCTGAGACGGGGTCTCGTGCATCTTCCCGTGCAGGGTGCCCAAGAGCCTCCTGAAGAACTGACAAAGGACCAAAAGAAGAAAAGGCAAAAAAAGACCGAATTCAGAAAAGATGAATTAAACTTTCCCAAAAGATCTCAGCTCCTCTGGCTCTGCTGCAGAGCCTTGCGCCGCTCCTCGGCAGACTCGAGCAGCTTGGCGCACCTCCCAATCGATCGCTGGAACTCTGCAAAGCCCACAACCACAACAACCACAACCCCACCACTCGGAGTCTAGGTCCAAGTGCGCCAGCTCCAGCTTGTTCTCAGACACTCGAGCCTACCAGGGTCACCCGCATGGCTCCCCGCAACTCCGATTTGAAACTTCTTCACTTTTTTTCTGCATTACGCAATCTTTTGCATTGCGGGCTTGCCTGCAGCTGCTGGCAGCGCTGCTCCCGCAGACGGATCTGCACTTCGGCCTCCAAAGCGAAAAGGCTAAAAGCTTTAGAAGAACTCTGAATTTAAATTCTCCTCTCTTTCAAATTCCTTTTTTTCTCTCCTCTTTCTGCGAAGCTCTCCCCGCTCCCCGCGCCCGGGCCTCGGCGATGCTGCGCAGCCTCGGCACACAAGACAGTTCTGCCTTTTCCGCTTTCGCTTTCAGCGGAAAAGAAAGGCCGCTAGCAGACTCTGCAACCGTTGGCCTTTTTCAGCAAAGGCCTCCGCAAAATGCCGCGAAGGTCCAAAAACCATTCCCCCAATTGCACTCTCACTTAGCCGCAACTCCGCAACCAGCGTCGCCTCCAGGAACATCTTGGCCGAGAACTCCTCCATCGTCACCTTCGTCACCTTGACTGTCTCAGAAAGAGAGAGGTGTCTTGCATGCAGAGGATGCGAAGCCGCAAAAGTATCCCATGCGATGGCCGCGATGGCATGTCATGAGTAGTACAGTACGTGTAGAGAGTGGGTTCTTGGCATCTGTGGGCCGAACCGCACTCGTCACTTTCGCTGCGCTCGCATGTTTCGCTTCCTTCGCCACAGCCTGGCCGCTCCCAGGCTCAGGAAATCCCACTTCCAGGCTATGACTCAAAACACTCTCCCTTTCCTTCCTTTCTTTCTTTGAAGAGACCCGACTGTCGTGGGATCTCCCCGGGCGTCTTGCGCACTTTTCGTTCAGCGACTTGCGCCGACCGAGGGGGTCCACTCCCCTGCCTCTCTGTCTTCTTCTTCTACGGGTGAAAGAGGGCACTCTCTTCTCTTCCGTGGCGCAGGCCTGCTCCAGACGTCCATCCTCCAGCCCTTCCAAGAGCCGCGCCCTGATCCTGAACACAAGATAGGCCTGAGAACTCTCCTGCGCTAAATACAAAATATCTAAATTGATTCTCGTCAATAACTTCAAAACTCACTTCTTCCCAGATTTCTTCATCGCTTCACATCTCAAACCCCACGTCTCAAACCCTCACATCGAGGCATCCCGTGCTGACAACTCAGCAACATCTCCTCTGTCGTGCAGCCTCCGCCGGCGCAGCATGTGGCGCAGCCTGGCACTGCACTGCACTGCACTGCACAGCTCCAACAGCTCCAACAGCTCGAATCCTCCCCCGAGGCTCAAGAGACGTTGCTGGAGGACGAGACATCTTCACGCGGCTCCACTGTGGCACCGTGGACCGGCCTCCTGAGGCTCCTGAGGCTCCTGAGGCCTGAGCGCGCAGCAAGTTGCATCTCAGGCTTCAAATCTCATAGCCATTTTTACAACTCAACGAAGAGGTGAGCATCACCCTCTCCAGTGGTTTCGGATCGCATTCAGAGCCCCTCAGCTTTACCAAGCCAAATCCGCGTTTCGGACCCCAAAGACCTTCTCTTGGCCTTGCAATAGCCTCCTTAGGAATGGGAACGTCAGAAGCTAATTTGGCCATGCTGTCCAAAGACTGGGTTCGTCGTGCCGTTGCTGAGGTACAAGTTGATTGTGCTGTACCACTTAGGGCAGTGCGTTTACACCTGGAGAAGAACCTTGGCGTCAATGTGGCATCTCAGAACGGACAGATCCACAGGATGGTTCTGCACGTTGTGGATGAAATGACGCAGCTGGATTCACGTACGGCTGCTTACAAAGCTCGTCATGTCGTTCAGCGGTTTGCGGCGTCGGGGAGCTGATTCCTTTTGGACCAACTTGCCCCGGGCGAGGTCCTGGGATGTAGAGAAGCTTCACAGGGAAGGCTGGGATAATGCAGATCCTTGAGAAGGTGGATAGCAAGGCCATCGCCAAGGATGTGAGGGTATCGGACACCATTGACAAGGTTGCGAGCCACGAGCAGAGCATCCTACATGACCGCGAGCGCCTGATCACTGATGGGAAGCAGTTGGAGGGTGGCCATGTATTGTTGGATCAGATCATCCAAAATGAGCCGTTGTTCTGCTTGATGTTGTGGCGAGCTATCACAGGTGTATGGGAGCCGCTTCCTTTGACTCTGCCCGATCGAGATCGTGGACGTGTGCTCCACTTAGCCCTCAGCGACTTCAACGATGCAAGTGCGACCTTCATTGGACAAAGCAATGCAGTCCTTCATTAAGTGCTGGGCGGTGATTTGGAGGCCTCGCGCAGAGATCTTTGGAGAGACGCTGGCCACCCCGGGCGCGCTGTTCTCTGTCAAGTTCACTCTCGCCGGCATTATTGACTGCAAAAAATGCATCCTGCTCCAGCACTGCAGATGCTTTGATCCTGGCGGTGTGGCTCTGGCTGGCGCCCCACTAAGCAAAGCCGGCACCAGGCTGGATGTGAATGCGTGATCAGTTTCCTGACGGAATGTGAGGACATTTTTCCCGAATGCGTAGCAGAAGGCTTCCCGTTTTAAGGTTGGGGTCCAGGGGTCCAGGAGGCGACGCGAGGTCGTTGCGTTTATGTCCGCCAAGCGTCCGCAAGCGTCCGCAAGCGTTCGCAAGCGTTCGCAAGCGTTCGCGAGTGTCGGAGAGTGTCGCGCATCGTCGGGAGTCGCAAATCGTCGCGAAACGCAGAACTGTCGTCACTTTTTACGCT